TAAAATTATAAAAAAAAAACAAAGCTGTAGAAAAATATAATGATTTACAAGTCTGTAGAGAACAGTGCACTATTGCAGACTTATATACTGGAGTTTTCATTACATTATTGTAATAGCTATAGTCAGTCATGAACTAAAGTGGGCCGCTCTGGCATGAAACTCCAGGGCTGAAAATGACTCCCCTTCTGCAGTCCAAATTCAAAATACTGTTTCTCCCACTCCCTCCTCCTCAGACTCGACGCTCATTGTCAGATTGAGGACATGCAACAGAAACAAGCACAACTGACAAAGTCGATCGACAAGCCTTACACTGTAAACTGAGTTGATCATTCTGCGTTTACATATACCTCTGATCACAGCTTTTTCAATGGATGCCAAGGCTTTTTAGTTCAGGTAGAATGTATGAAAGTTCTTAAGGTGCAGTTCTTAAACTAGGTGACAACCGCTACAGATTTTCCAGGCAGAACAATAAATCACTTGGTCCATGTCCACAAAAAAAAAGATCCTTTACTGTTGTCTTTGATTCATACATCAGTATGGGTGTGGTTCTATAAATGAACAATAATAACAATAATGAATATATATATATATATATACACAATTATGAGGCAGAAACAGTAATAACTGAACAATATAAAGTAATAATACAATAGCATACAGATTTGTACATATTAATAAGTCCAGCAGGTGTATATTTCCTCAGGTTTATACATATATTCACTTTAAATCAACTATTAAAGCAGAATTAAATATTTCCACATAATATTAAAACAGCTGCATTCAAAGTCTTATTCAGCGTGTTTTATGCTGAAATGAATGCGTGATTGAGGTTACGTGCGCATTGACAACTTCAAAGAATTAGCGACCATTTAGTTTTGCAATATAACGTAAAAGTAATTAAATCTAAAAACAGATACACAAAAGAGTATTTAACTACTTACTTTTAAGATGTACGCACACAGTATGAACAAAAATCAGCAAGAAATTGGACCAGATCAGCATGATGATAAAAAAGTAATTAAATCTAACAACAGATACACGAAAGAGTATTTAACTACTTACTTTTAAGATGTACGCACACAGTATGAACAAAAATCAGCGAGAAATTGGACCAGATCAGCACGATGATCAGTACAAACTGACGCAACTTCGATACATGTCTGAACATGAACAGTCTTTGATTGACATTCAGTTCTGCTGATTTAAACCAATGAAATTACAGAAATAATAGTCAGGTGATTCAGAGATAATACGTATTTCCTTAACTGCAATATAATAAATATCCTGCGGAGGGCGCCAGCGTCATTATTAAAGCTTGGCCTTTTGTACAGCCGCCCCCAAATTTGTTTATCAAATTTGTAAATAAAGAAAAGGCTTAGTCTTTGTTGGTGTCATCAGGTAGAGCAGGCAGTTTAATCAGACGAGCCACATGCCTTGTGTAACTTTTGTCTTTGACATTCACTACAGCTGTCCGAACTCGTCCATCTTGCCCAGGAATGACTTTGGCTACTGTACCTATTTGCCACAGGGCTCTTGGTGCTTGTTGGTCCACAATCATCACGGCTTCACCAGTTTGAAGGTTTTCAGATTCTCTTTGCCATTTTTGTCATTGTTGCAGGTCTGGAAGGTAATGCTGTATGAAACATTTCCAGAAGTTTTCAATTAGAATCTGGTTGTGACGCCATCAGTCGTAAGGACTGAGCATTTCTGATTCTGGGTAGACAAGTTGTGGTAATGCAGAAGTTGGACGTCCCATGAGGAGGGAATTAGGTGTCACAGGGTCTATATTTGCTATGTCTGAGGAAACATATCCCTATGGCCTGGAGTTTAATATGCCCTCCACTTCCACAAGTACCGTGATCAGTACTTCCTCTGGCACGGATTGAGAACCAAGGGAGGTGCGCAGTGCAGTCTTGATAGACCTAATCTCTCTCTCCCACGATCCTCCAAAATGCGGTGCATTTGGTGAGTTTAGACGGAAATGAATCTGTTGAGAAGCCAGATGCTCTTTCAAGGTTGGGTGAAGTGTATTGAAGGCATTCTGAAGTTCTGTGGTACCTCCCTTGAAGTTTGTACCATTATCAGAAAGCACTTCATATGGTTTCCCTCTGCGAGCTATGAACCTTCTTAACGACATAAGAAAGGAGTCTGTGTCAGTGCTCGATAGAAGTTCAATATGAACCGCTTTGGTAGTAAGGCACTTGTACAGTATTCCCCAGCGTTTTTCACATCTGCGTCCAAACTTAACCTGGAAGGGACCAAAACAATCAATGCCTGTCGAATAGAAAGCTGGACGAAACAGTCTAAGATTAGACTGGGGAAGATCTGCCATCATGGGGATTTCTGGCTTCCCTCGCCATTTCTTACATTCAAAGCAGCTGCGCTGGTGTTTTTTCACTGCCTCTCTGCCTCTTATGATCCAATATTTCCGTCTCAGTTCTGCGAACACACGCTCAGGTCCTGGATGTAACAGGAGGTTATCAATGTTGAATCAGAAGCTTTACGAGAGGGTGAGCAGCATCTAAGACAATGGGGTGGACTGTGTTTGAGTCCAAGTGGTGTCCACCTACTCTGACTAATTTGGCTTGGTGATCATACTCTGGGGCAAGAGTTAGAAGACGACTAGAGTGAGATACAGGTTTACCTGACTGGAGTTGGGCTGTTTCTTCTCAGAAGTTTCTGTTCAGCTTCTGAATAGTTGTCAGCAGAGAGTTCACTTTCGTCCGCCGCCCCATGAAGAGAAATAGCAGTAGCCTTAATCAGATCTTGAAGTGAATTATATTGAGAGATATCTGGGATACCAGTTTGACTGGAGGATAATGCTCCACAGAAAGTAGAACTGCGGTGTTCTTGAATGTCATCGCATACAACATCAAGTGGCTGTTTAGGCCAACTACTAACTGGCTGGGTTAAGAACTGTGGACCTTGATTCCATCGGCTTTGCTCTGAGATTTTAAAGAGAGTGAGTCCTCTGGTAATGTCGTCGGCTGGGTTCAACTCTGAATTGATATAACGCCAGGCTTTTGGGTCTGTAAGGTCTTGTATCTCGGCCACACGCGTTCCGACAAACACTTTGTATGTGCATGAGTCCGACTGAAGCCAAGTCAATACAGTTGTGGAGTCAGTCCAGTATAGTTCTTGATCAATCTTGATGGTCAGTTCTTTTCTCAAAGTGGCAGCCAGCTGAGCACCAGTCAGGGCAGCACAGAGTTCGAGTCGTGGTACAGACTGTTGTCGTTTGGGTGCCACTCTCGATCTCACAGCAACAAATGAAACTTGGGTCTCACCATGTTTATCACTTGTACTGATATATGCGACTGATCCGTATGCACGTTCCGATGCATCACAGAATACATGAAGAGGTTTCTGCACTTCATTAATGTACACTGATGCAAGATCTGTGTTCTGCAAAAGGCGCTTTTCTGTGCTTCTTAAATGAGCCGTTACTGCTTCTTTAGATGATTGCAAAGGTGGAAGATTTCTTTTCCAGAGGAGGGGTGTTGCATACCTTTGAATGTCTCCGACTGCCAGCCTGATTGTTTTCTTCTCAAGAATTTGCACTGCTTCTGTGTCTTGCCTTGATCTTGTGATCAGTTTTTCACTCCGATATGGAAGTGTATCCATTTGCCACAATTTCTGTACATTATTGAACAGTTCTGCTTCTGGTGACAAAGTGGAGGTTAATAGACACTGCTGTGGTGAGAGCTGACTGGCAAGGAACTTTGAGGGGCCTTGCAGAGTCCACCCAAGTCTGGTTTTCACAGCGGCAGGACCACCAGGAGGTCCAAGACGTACTGGCTCTGTGGCTGTCATTAAATGCGGGTAGTCTGAGCCAATAAGTAAGAGTGGTTGAGCCTGCTGCAGTTGGGAAATAGGCAGACCTTGCAGGTGTCTGTATTTTTTCTGCAGCAACTTAACAGGATAAGTGTGTTTTGCGAGGCTCAGTTCTTTGGCTGTGAAAGCTCTTTCAATGGTGAAGGATTTGTTCGGCTGAGATGCAGAGGCTACCGAGAATGAAACAGCCGCCCCATGAACGACCCGTATGTCTTGTCTCACAGTACGGAGGGCTATATCTTCAGGTAGTCCTTGAAGATCAAGTTGCTGTGCTGCTTCATACAGTAACATTGTCCTCTCTGAACCGTCATCCAGTATGGCATATGTATCAAGTTGCTTCTCACCATTTCTCAAGATCACTCGGCTGACTTTCAGAAGAACTTTACTGCAGGCAGTTGATCTGTCCAGATACAGTGTCTCTACTTCTGAGTTTACAAGAAAACTGTTTTCTGCTGAAGATTGTGTTTCATGTTTCACTTTGGCATTGAAGTCGTGCAGTATTTCTAAATGTCTCTTGTCACATTTTTTGCATTTGGCTTTAAGAGTACATTGTGAAATCTGATGATTACGGCCGCACTTAAAGCACCTGTGATTTGACTTCAGCCACGACTCCACTTGATCTTGATTCAGCAGTTTGAAGTTAGTGCACTGGTTGAAGTAATGCTGCACAGTGTTGCAAAAGGGGCAGTACCTCTTTGGTTTCTCCTTCTCGATTGTTGTAGCACTTGCCAGTTTACTCTGTTCACCACCATGTAAGACAGTAGCAAATCGTTGCACTGGCTTAGAGTTTCTTTGCTTGTCTCTCTGTGGCTGAGAGTAGGCTCTACTTGAATGACTAGCGTACTGTGACTCGTCCTCTTGTATTCTGAGCTCATATTCAAGCCAGTCACTGAGTTCAAGCAGTGTCGGAACTGGTATTTGAATGGGGTTAACGAACCTTCTGAAATTTGCTTTAACATTATAACTCACATTACTTTTATATCGTTGCTGTCTATTTTATAGAACATACAAAAAAACTTCCTGGCGTTGTGAGACATATATGCAGTGAATGAATCTTCATAATGTTTCACTTGATTGTACATTTAGTCAGGAATCATGGTTTGGAAAAAGTAACTAGTAAAATATGTACAAGTTATGTCACAGTAACACAAATGCAGGCCTTTTACCTGGTTCAGGTCAAGTGGCACCCTTTGTGTACTGTTCATCATCAGAATGAAGTGGCTGATGTGGCACAGTATAATCAACATAGAAGTCATCTAAGTATCTTGGTGGGATGACTTGTCGACGTGGTCGAACCACTGGTGAATCTGGGGTAGCCTGTCTTTTTGGTGTTGCTGTAGTAGCTGCCTAATCCGGCTCGAAGGACCGATTTTGTATGAAAGTTCTTAAGGTGCAGTTCTTAAACTAGGTGACAACCGCTACATATTGTCCAGGCAGAACAATAAATCACTTGGTCCATGTCCACAAAAAAAGATCCTTTACTGTTGTCTTTGATTCATACATCAGTATGGGTGTGGTTCTATAAATGAACAATAATAACAATAATGAATATATATATATATATATATATATACACAATTATGAGGCAGAAAGAGTAATAACTGAACAATATAAAGTAATAATACAATAGCAGATTTGGGCGTATTTATAAGTCCAGCAGGTGTATATTTCCTCAGGTTTATACATATATTCACTTTAAATCAACTATCAAATAAAGCAGAATTAAATATTTCCACATAATATTAAAACAGCTGCATTCAAAGTCTTATTCAGCGTGTTTTATGCTGAAATGAATGCGTGATTGAGGTTACATGTGTACTGACAACTTCAAAGAATTAGCGACCATTTAGTTTTGCAATATAACGTAAATGTAATTAAATCTAACAACAGATACACGAAAGAGTATTTAACTACTTACTTTTAAGATGTACGCACACAGTATGAACAAAAATCAGCGAGAAATTGGACCAGATCAGCACGATGATCAGTACAAACTGACGCAACTTCGATACATGTCTGAACATGAACAGTCTTTGATTGACATTCAGTTCTGCTGATTTAAACCAATGAAATTACAGAAATAATAGTCAGGTGATTCAGAGATAATGCATATTTCCTTAACTGCAATATAATAAATATCCTGCGGAGGGCGCCAGCGTCATTATTAAAGCTTGGTCTTTTGTACATAGAATCTGTAATCTCTGTCCCGGTTTGTTTGTGACTTCCATAGCTGCAGTACACTGTATTTTCCGCCAACTGGCAACTCGGGACGTAGAAATACTATTGGGTAAACTGCCAGTGGGAGGAATCACACACCAAAACAAAAATGACATGGAATGCACATTTCAAAGAAGAATAACTTGCTGCAGCATTGTTTTCCAAGAAACAAGAGTGTCAATGTAGTTTCCTAAATATCTGCAAATGCATTATGGTATTTTTTATCCGTTAGTACAGTCAAAAAATTACATCAATTACTACACAAGTAGTGACTCCTGCTGGCGTTAATTTTGCATCTTTCACCTTCAATTTCGATACCACACCCTTTCCCTGTCAAAGAGACTCATGTGCAAGAAATGCTGATGTGTGCGCTTGTGTGTAAGCCCACAGTTTCCAAGGTGCAAAAGGAATATTGTTTAAAAGTGTTCTGTTTCAGGTAAGGTACTGTATGTTCATTGAGTTACACTGTTCAATGATGCTTCTTAGTCAAACTAATGCCGTGAACTTGTCTGCTTTAAAATATAAGAGTAGAGTTCTATATTTCTCACTTACTACCTATATTTTTAATCCACTATTCCCAATAAATCTCATGATTGCATTAATTTGTTTTCTCACATTTGGACCATATTTTAGTATATTACTTATTGCAAATTCTTTCCAAAACATTGCAATTCTTCCTTTCTCTTTTGTACACATTGCATACTGTGTTGGGATGTAGTTACATATGGAAGGATATTCTGGGCTATTTTAGAAAGGAATTGCAAATTGTACTTTCGAATGTGTTATCCATATGTGGAAAACATCCAAACGCAGTTTCCACACAATCTGTGTACAGTCATGGCCAAAACTTTTGGCAGTGACATAAATTTTGTGTTTTGCAAAGTTTGCTGCTTCGGCATTTGTAGATTATTTTCTATGGTATACTGAAAAACAATGATAAGCATATCATAAGCTTTAAAGGCTTTTATTGGCAAAAAATATAATGGAGTCAATATTTACAGTGTTGACCCTTGTTCTTCATAACCTCTGCAATTCACTCTGGCATTCTGGATATCAGCTTCTGGGCCAAATCCTGACTGATGGCAATCCATTCTTGTCTTATTAGTTCTCGGAGTTGATCACAATTTGTGGGCTTCTGCTTGCCCACTCGCCATTTGAGGACTGACCACAGGTTCTCTATGGGATTGAGATCCGGGGAGTTGCCTGGCCACGGATCCAAAATTTCAATGTAATGATCTTTGAGCCACTTCTTTATCACTCTTGCTTTGTGACATGGTCCTGACTGATGGCGATCCATTCTTGCCTTATTAGTTCTTGGAGTTGATCACAATTTGAGGGCTTCTGCTTGACCACTCGCCTTTTGAGGACTGACCACAGGTTCTCTATGGGATTGAGACCCGGGGAGTTGCCTGGCCACGGATCCAAAATTTCAATGTAATGATCTTCGAGCCACTTCTTTATCACTCTTGCTTTGTGACATGGTGCTCCATCGTGCTTAAAAATGCACGGATCATCACCAAATTGCTCATGGATCGTTGGAAGAAGTCGCTCTTGCAGGCATTCTTTATTCACGGCAGTGTTTTTGGGCAGAATTATGAGAGCCTGAGATGAATTAATGATTTCAGGATGCTTCACTGTTGGCACAACACAGGACTCATGGTAGCGTTCACCTTTTCTTTTCCGAACAATCGATTTTCCAGATGTCCCAAACATTCGGAAGGGAGCTTCATCAGAGAAAATAACTTTGCACCAGTCTTCTGCTGTCCAATCCTTGTACTTCCTGCAGAATTTCAGTCTGTCCTTGACGTTTTTTTAGAAGAGAAGTGGCTTCTTTGCTGCCCTTCTTGACACCAGGCCATTGTCCAAAAGTCTTGGCCTCACTGTGCGTGCAGATGCTCTCACACCAACCTGCTGTCATTCCTGAGCAAGCTCTGCACTGCTGGTGACACGATTCCATAGCTGACTCCTCAGGGGGAGACGTCCTAGTGCTTGTTGGACATCCTGAAGACTTCTTCACTGCAGTCGAACCTCTCTCCTTGAAGTTCTTGATGATCCGGTAAATGTTTTTTTCAGGTGCAATATTCTTTGTAGCAATTTTCTTGCATGTGAGGCCATTTGATGCAAAGCAACGATGGCTGCACTTGTTTCTTTAGAGGTAACCATTGCTAACAAGAACACAATGATTGGAAACGCTTCTTCCCTCCTTTTATAGCAATCAGTCTGCTCTTACAATCTAATTAGTATGACAGTGATTTCACCTGACTAGTACTCATTCACACTTCCCACATGTGCTGCTGATATGATTAGTCAATTAATGTTAGCTGGTCATTTTGTGTCAGGATAAAAAAACAGTGAAATTTGATTTTTTGTGAAAAGTTCATTTTTTGGCCAATGAAGCTTTTAGCAATTATTTAAAATGCATCTGATCACTCTACACAATAATCTAGAAACAATGTGAATGAACACCACAACGGCTTAAGCAGCAAACTTTGAAAACACAAAATTTATGTCACTGCCAAAACTTTTGGCCATGACTGTACGCATGCCAATCCGATAGATCCGGTAGGTACACACAATAGGTCAATATTCACCATTAACCAAACACTTTTCACATGTCTCAAGATCTGTCACTGTTTACCCTCCGACTGATGGACGTGACCATACAGAAAACACTGCTACTTTTACTCTGCCTGCCCCAGATTACACTTTACTAGTCAGATTTAGGCGCAGCTGTCACAGAACATGCCACAGCCAAGGTGAGTTATTAATATTTAATATCACGTGCATCAATCGGAGTGTCCGGTGGCTGTAAACAGTGAGAGATCTTGTGGCAGGCGCAACATTTAGGTGCCACTGGACTCCATTTGTAACGGATTGTCTGTGAGTGTCATCACTTCCGAATACAAACATGCCCCATAATATAGTCCCACCCACTTAGGTGTCTTGAGATGTAAACCATGTAAAGAGTTTTTGATAAATGATGTTTGTTTTTGTTCAGGACGTGCTGGAGTTTCTGATGGTCAGAATTTGCATTTTTCAGGATTTCGTAGAATTGTGTCTCGAATCCTGGGAATGGCTACTTTGTTGCTGTGTCGTCTGTCATATTGGAAGTCATGGGTGCAGTACTATTGTCAATTTCACAGGTGGGTTGGTTAGAGATGGTGTGCACTGCAAGGTCTAAGTTCTGTTCTGCATACGTGTTCCCTGGCCACCTGCACGACAGAGGTGATGGAGATGATTTTGAAGGGTGCCATGACTTCTTAACTATTCCAGATGGTGAGCCTTGGGAATCCATTCCCAGGTGGACCAGGGACAATGAGGAATGGACAGCGGAAGGAGCATGGAGGAAATGATAGAGATATGCTAATGATATAGCATGTCTGGTAGGCACTCTGCAAGAGGAGGTTCGGAGTTGGTGGCTTTGGCAATATTGTCCTTCAGGGTCAAGAGGATGGGACTAACAATCTTGAATTGAGGAAAATCCAATTCAGGTGAGGAGTTGTTGGGAACTGTTGCATCTAGAAAGTATTCAAGATTTCTGTGGTTTGTAATGACCTGAAATGGATGATATGAACCTTCAAGCCAGTGGCACCACCCCTCAAGTGCCATCTTGATGACAATGAGCTTCCAGTTTCTGATGTCATACTTAATTTCTGCTGGGCATAACTTGCAGCAAATGATTGCGCAGAAATATAATTTAGAAGAATCAGTGTGCTCTTAAAACAATACTGCCTCTATTCTGGTGGAGACATTAGCTTCAGAAATGGAGGTTATTGGTTTGGATTTTGAAGAACGGCAGACCTCTGACTTGTGCTTTTTCTTGAGGAGGGAGGTCAGAGGTGCGGTTAGAGGAGCTGAAGTCCAACTGTAGTTGGTTGTGGCCATGACTGCACCGCTTGGACCATTCCCTGCCCCATATGCACACCTTCAGTCCAATGAGGTAACACAGGAATTGAACTTCGTCCTAAGCTGGGAATACACTGTGCAATTTCAGATATGTTTTTGTTAAATACTAACTCTCACTGTATGAGTAAAGTGCATGCAATGTAAAGCCAAAGCTCATGTTTTATGTACTCACACTATACGTTCCGATTGTCGAGCTGCGACTTGACTGCTCACACTATTCGTGTCACCATTATTTATATAGCGCTTTTTACAATGCAGATTGTGTCAAAGCAGCTTTATAGTATTAAACAGGGAAATAGTGTGTTGTTATTCCTCTGGTCAGATGAAACCAGCAGTTTAATTCCAGGCTGCAACAAAGTCCGATTGTGCAGATGACTCATCTGGTTCCCATGGTCTTGTCCCGATGGCTGTCTAGGTGACAAGGTCTTTGGAGGGGATCTGTCTCTGGGGCTCATCTAGTTGACATGGTCTGCGCTGACATTCAGGGTTGTCGAGGTTGTCTCTAGGTGCTGATCCACCATCTGGTCTGGAATACGGACTGGATCCAGGTGACTGCAGTGACCATCTGATTTGGATACAGTCTGGATCTGGGTGGCTATGGTGACCATGGAATAAAAATTAAACAGACTAATATTAGCATAGATGCCATTCTTCTAACCATGTGACAAGTACATTGGGTGTTATGGGAAGTGTTCCTGGTTCCGGTTGACCTAATTAATGCAGCCTAACAATCCTTTAATGGATTTGAATAGTAGAAATGGAATAGTGTGTTATGCGTAAGCCAGGTTAAAGAGATGGGTCTTTAATCTAGATTTAAAATGACAGAGTGTGTCTGCCTCCCGTGTTAGGTACAGTAGATTGTTCCAGAGTTTGACGCTAAATAGCAAAAAGGATTACATTGGAAAAGGATTTGTGAAAGC